GGAGAAAACGCCTTTTGTGGCCCACGACAATCAAAGTAAACATTATATGACAGGTAAAGGTTAAACGATTGCAGAAATGTTATTTATCTTAAGTTTTAAAGTGAAGTCGTGTTTAACATGTAGGCATATTCTTGGAAACGAGCTGGCAGCAGAAATCACACAACAAAACGAAATGTTATCATTTCATAAGTAAATGAGTAAACAATTTAATAATGCAATTGAAAACAAGCTAATTCCTATGACAACTAAAAACTAATAAAATTAATGCCGTGATTTCAATATTCATAAGGATTCATTTTTAGGTGTCGTCAATACGTCAATTTTGTACGTTTAGATGCTGAAAATACGTCAGTATTGTACGTCTTAGTGCCTGTAAAAATGTAAGTAAATGTACGTTTTATAGAACCACGTTACGTAAAATACATACAAATTATCATGAGACCACGTTGAATTGTAGGCTATATTATGTTAACACTGTATTGCTTTAACGGTCCATTTCTAATGTTTACCTGTTTATTTCCCTCCTTCTCGTTTCACTGAGGTGCAGCGGTGATGAAATATTGTTCTTGTAAATACTTCCCAGCATTTCAGTAATAAAAGTGTAAATATTACAAAGGCATGCAAATACAATAAAGCAACAGTTGGTCACAAAGGATTCAAACAGTGAATTCTGAATTGAAACACCAACATTCTAGATTTAGACGGCAATAAAATCTCCGACTAGCTCCAGTAAATGATGAAAATACCTTACATTCCTATCAGAAACAATTATCGTCCGAATAGCGATAACGCACATCAGCATGGCCTCCAGCAATCCAATTATGGCTAACGTTAACTTAACTTTATACCGAGTCAAGTACATGTGGTGCACATCTCGAGCCAATGTCACAAAAGTTTAGTGGACAAACATTTGATAAGCAGCTAGCTAGTTTTACTTGTGTCAGTTAACGTTTGTAATCTATATGCTAGCTATTTGCTTTCAAGATAAATGATCTGAGCTAAAAACAGAGGTGAATATTATGAAAATTAATACTAAGACTTTGAAACTTTACTTGCTTTACCATCCAGCAGAAGCACACATTCTCTTCTAAACCCAAAGCAGCAGCGGTCGATGGCCGTGACTAACAGTAATGGCGGATAAACTAAACTTTGGGAGGAGAACAGTTACTCTGTAATTGTACTCTGTACACTCAAAATAGAGCAAAAAATATATTAACTCTGGAAAAACTACTCCGCCATTTTCCCTGTGTAGACAATGTCACCCTGACTGGCATTAGGTATCGGGATGAAATGCTTGGACCCACTGTCAGACTCTACGCTGGTGCAGAGGGTCCTGGGTTCAATGCCCGGCCTCATGTGGAGAGAGTATGCAGGCAGTTCCTGGAGGATGAAGGAATTGATATCATTGAATGACCCCACGCTCGCCTGACCTAAATCCAATAGAACACCTCTGGGACATTATTCGGTCCATCCGATGCTGACAGGTTGCACCTCAGACTGTCCAGAAGCTCAGTGATGCTCTGGTCCAGATCTGGGAGGAAATATCCCGGGACACCATCCGTCGTCTCATTAGGAGCACGCCCCGATGTTGTCAGGCAGCATACAAGCACACGGGGGC